AGGAAGGACACAGTCTCTCCATGCAGTTAACTTGCCGTCGAGCGCTTGTGCACACCTCCAGGTGCTAAACCAGCACAGGTTTCAGTGCATTGTGTTCACAGCTGCCTTTTACTAACGTGTGCAGTGTTCCCCAAGGGATGCGTGGCTCATTACTGCTCATTCCATGGCTCATTCCTGCAATTTATTCCCACTGAATTTCCCAGTGCCCCGCAGTGGTTTTTACATCTTGTTTGCTTCCACTTTCTACCTGTGATGGGCACCTGCAAGCTGGACAACAGGTAAAGGCACCTCAGCAAAGGCCGGTGCTGGGGTAAGATAGTGTCACGGCCCTGTCTGCTGATAGTGCCTCTTTTTTTGCCCTCTTTCTTTCTTTTATCATGATTTCTTGCAAGGCAGCTGGATGGCAAAGCCTCAGTCCTGCACTTTCCTTTAATAATACCCATCCTGGAGTTAAGTGTTTTGTCCCAAGCTCACTGTTTAAGTGCACATACAGCTTTTGGATCATAACTCAAAACAACCAGTGGCCAGATGAATGCTGACATTCTCTTATATTTTTTTCATGTATCTTAATGTTTTCAATGCTTTATAGGTAGAGCTTGGGCCTCTGGTTTGTCGCAGGATCTGCTGTTCTTGTGGGCTGACATAAATGTTTAATGCAGCCATGCGAATGGTTATGTATTTTAGAAGACAGGTCCAAAACTGTTTTTTCTGGGGTTGTTTGTGGGCCTAGTTGAAAGTCTCTCCCACCTTCCACATTCATTATCTGACTGAGATGTTTCTCTGACGATGCCGCCCTCCCGAATGAAGCGGCAAGGAGAGCGCGGAGCCCCGTGTGCCATGAGCGAGCAGCAGGATTAGCTCTGCTCCAGGGAGCTGACCCACATCCGCATCTTGGGAAGTGGGGGGTGACACCGTGGATTTGGATAGCGCCCTCCCTTGCTGTGAACGAGGAGGAGGGAATGCGAGGGAGGCGCTCTTTGCATTTATTTATCTATATGCTATCCGTTTAGTCTAAGATTTTTCCCACATCTGCTTCAGTCAGACTGGGACACGTTGCTCTACTGAAATGTGTGGCATTAGAAAGCTATTTTTGGTAGTCTTTGTTTTGGCAGTAAATGTATGGCCTCTTTATGAAATCTTGTACTTCTAGATGGCTTACGTTATCACTGCTGCATAAAGCAAAAATGAAACATCTGCTTTTCTAAATGTTTCGGCAGGGCAAAAATGTCTCAGCGGCCTGGGTGTCCGTAAATAGAAGCTCTAATCTGTGTGGGCTTCTGATGTTTCACCGGCTAGGCTGGCCGTGGGGCAGAGGCCCACGCCGGTCAAGGACAGCGTGTGTTTTATACGTGGCCTTTTCCTAAAAGTGCTTCCTGCCTGTTTGCTTTAGCTACCTCACGGGCAGCCACAAAGCTGACTAGGAATGTGAAAGTGCAGCTCTGTCCACGGCAGAAACGTCCCGGTTGGTAAATGCTCCCAAATCTGTCGCTTCCCCCCGCCATTTCCAGAGCCACCGTGCGAACAGCGGCTCCGAGCCCCGAGGTGCCCTGTGGCTTCCCCACAGGCCGAAATGACTCCAGGATCGGGATGGAAGGGTAGATAAACCAGCGGGTTGTAACCGTGGATGCTTCCCGTTGTGTGGGCCCACACCACGCTATGGTGAAACTCCTTCAAGGTGCTCCTGGGGCCTGGGCCTGTGTGAAGGGCAGGAGGACACAGCAGGTTGTCCCTTGTGGCTTGCAGGCAGTGCCTGGAGAACCGAGGGGTCTGAAGGCCCCCAAAAGCTTCCTGTGGAGTTCTTCTTGTCCCAAAGACTGGTGCAAGCTGGATGGGTTTATTTCGGGGTGGCATATTTTAGGCCTGGGAGAGTAATTACACAGCTTTGGAGAACTTTGGAAGGCGGCTCTTTAAAATAAACCTTTGGAAGCCCCATTGGGTTGGCACCTCGTGCAAGGCACTGGTCTCATCTATTTCTGGCTCCTCAAATGCAGAGTAAAACTTAAAATTAGACACTTCTGGTTTTAGGGTGATAGTTTCTGCTTCACTTTTTAGGCACCTTGTGATTAGGTGGGAAGGAAACGGCCCTCAGGGCGTCCCTCGCCACCCGGTTGTGCCTAGATGGTTTCTGCATGAGGACTCCTAATTGTACATCAGAATTCTAGGGGTTTTTTTTCCAAGTTCTCAAATTATCAACCTAATAGTAGCTTGATGGGAGGTAGAGAGACACAGTCCACTGTATCCCCACATGCCATCTTTAGGAACCATGAAACTGATTTTTTTTATTTTTATTTTTTTAAGGGTTTCGCTTGAATCAGTAATGCTACTTCTTTGTCTAATGATATGGACCAGACCCCTAATTCTAAAATAAAAAAACAATTTTTCAACTCCTTTTTTTTAAGTGTTGAAAGAAGAGGCTAAATGATTGTGAAACTTGTGACTGGAAAGTGCCTCTGAATTTCTCTTGTAACCTCCCTTCAGCCCCGTGCAGAACACAGGAAAGGCCCCAGGCTCCGCGTGCACCTGCAGGCCGAGTTCTTGTTCGCAGCGGTCCGTGACGATCCCCCCGCAAACCCTGCTCTTGTCCCCTGCCTAACGCACAGCAGAAGTGTTGGAGGGCAAGCAGGCTGTCTGCTCGCAGAGCTTATGCTAACAACAAATTAGCTATGAAGGAGCCCTTTATCACAAATCAGTGCTTCTTACCACATTTTGAAGTAATTAGCTTTCATTGGAGCGAACAGCAAAGCAGCAGATGCTTGATCATAGTTGCATTGTAATGCAAGGGAAATCATGAGTAAGAAAACTCATACACTGAAGCACTTCTTGCAGATCTAATGAACTAAGCAGCTGTGGGGAGACAGGAACATGTGATTTTTTTTTTTTTTTCCTCAGGAGTGTGAGTTATAATGTGCTAAAGCTTAGTCACTTACATAGTATCTTGTGACAGGATTTAGAGCTCCTAAACGTGTTTGCGAAGCAGATTTGTAGCAATAGTCTATTGTACCCGTACGGACTCGAAGATCATTCCGCTTTCCAGGACTGAGTTGGAAGTTCCAGTGAATCTACACCAAATTTAGCATTAGCCTTACTGCAGAATAGCAGGTCCTCCTCAAAGGAAAGGGGACTCTAATGCCACTCAAATGTTTAGTATTTTTGCATCCCAGGCATGTTCCCTGCATTTCTGAGGCATGTTGCTGTTTATAGTCCTCTCTTCTGATTTGACAGATTCCTTTTTATCCAGCTCTGAAGTTTCCTTATGTTCCTGATGCCTACAACTGTGTCAAGCTTAAGGCATTTCATACCTGAAATATAACTTGACAAATTAGGCTGGGTTGGTGAATATTTTATTATAGGTAAAGCCTCTTCAATCCTTCTGGAAACGTCCCTCCTATCTGAAGGAGCTGCAGTGAGTTGAGTGGAGGAACAAGGACTGGACCTCAGCTTGAATTAACCCTGGGTATTTTTGGCACTTAGATGCCTAACTTTTTAGTGGCTTAGCCTTAGTCCTATCTGAAAGGAGTTTAAGTTTACTGCCTTGAGGCAGTTGCTGCCTTCTGTTTTCCCACGTTTTGGATGGGGATGATCAGCTCTTATCTGCACTGCAGAGGATTACCCTGTTTGGTTATCTGTTGGCCACCTTTTTCTTATTCTCTGCCACATTTACCTTAGCCAGCACATTGAACTCCCACAAAAATAGATGAGAGGGCTGGAAGAGGGAGACCTCCTGGCTTGATGCCTCCCTGGTATCTTGTGTCACGTTACAGTCGTCTCCAGTTTACAGCAAGGACTCTTGGGCTGTGCCTTGGTTTGTGCTTCTTCCTTCTCAGAGTGGAGCTGAAGCAATTTTACAAGGGATCTTTCTTCCCTCGCCGCCAGTGTCTGCAGCTGCCCCTCTGGGAAGTTTCCCTTTCCCTGCTAAAGCAAAGGGTTTATCTGGTGCCCTTGCCCCTTTGCCCCGTGCCAGGAGACGAGATAAGAGTCATCTGCAGCCGGGCTCGCTGATAGCCGCGATAGGGCAGAGCGCTCCTCTCCCAGCCTCGTTCCTTGGAGATCTTAATTGGCTCAGGGCCGAGCTCTGAGCTATAAATGGATCAGATCGGGCTGCCCTTCCTCGCCTGCAGAGGATCAGGGGTTTCGAGAGCCTCGCGGAAGGTCCCCACACCTCCCCTCCACGCGTGCTTGGACCCTCCTTTGCAAGGCCAAGCTCAGCTCCCTTTGAGGGCTTTGCAGAAGCTCTGCCTGAAGCAGTTCCCGTGCTCAGCAGACCTCCCCCTTTTCCTTTGCTGTTTCACACTACGCTTGGTTCATATTTGGCTCAGAGGGGTGATGAGGGTAGACCGGTAAGAGGCTGCATAAGGGAAAAATCCCCTTCCCTCTGCCTGGGACAGTTTCTTTTATACTCACAATCTGAACCACGTGTGTGATTTGAAGCACAGTCTTCACGTGGCTTGATCCTTGTCTGCTTGGGCTGAAGAGTGTTTCCATGTGCATTTTTGTCCTCCTTGGAGCTGGCTGTTCCCACTGGCTGCCTCCCAGCACGATGACTGCCTCGAAAGGACACGCAGTCCAGGACAGATAGCGCCTTTGCCCTACAGAAGGCCCTACAAAACTGGCACGTTGCTGCAGGAAGATAAGCCTGAGAACTTTCAGCCCCATTCACTAATGGAGTTTGGCTCTGTCCCTTCTGGACAAGGAATTGAGCTAAACCGGTTAAGCAGGAAAAGTGGAAGAGCTTGTAAGAGCTTTAAAGGTAAAGGCTGATGAGATGATTAGTCTATAGCCTGTAACCTAGATGGAATATTTATCTGCACTGGCTAGTGAGGCTGCTTGCTGCTGCCATAGCACCGTGTGGTGCAGCTTCAGGTGGTGTGGACCAAGTTAGGCTTGTGCAAAGAGGGATCTTTGCAGACCAGGTTGACAGTCATTAAAAAAAAAAAAAAAAGTCTGGGATTGATTCGACTTGGTCCCTTTTCTGAAGGCTGTGTTTTCTTGATTTCCCGTAGAGAAGAAGTTCAGGAAAACTGCGTCCGCTGGAAAAAGAAATTCACCTTCGTGTGTAAAATGAGTGCCAACCCGGCCACAGGACTCCTGGACCCCTGCGTCTGCCGAGTGTCTGTCCGTAAGGTGAGCATCAAGCTGCTGCTTCTGCCAAACAGTACCACCAATATGTGTATTGGCATTAGTTCCAAATTCCTCTTTTGGTGGCAAAAATGTGCTAGGAAGGAAGGATTGTTTGGGCCGGGGTGTAACCTGAAACGAGCATTTGGAGCCTCCCTCCCCAGCAAAGACATTTATTGGAGGGTAAGAGGAACTGGTTGGGAGTACCCTTGAGAGACAGAAGTTTGTGAAATCTTGAGAGCAAATTCCAGTATTGATTAATGACTTTCCCTCTGTTTCCCCAGCACATATAATAGCTGCTTTTCCTGTTTGTTTTGTCTCCCATTATAGGAGCTGAAGGGCGGAAAAACCTACTCCAAGGTAAGAGCAAAGAAAGGGCAACTGTGGCAGAGTGGCAATCAGTCTTGTGTTCTGTCAGTGCTTTATGTCTGGTAGAAACCAGTGGGTGGATGGTCAGAAAGCAGCACAATTGCTGTGCGAAACAGCCTGGAGAAACAGTTTTCAGTGTAGGCCTGAGTTAAATGATTTCCCCAAAATATTGACTTGCTGGGATAGGATCCAGATTGCACTGATGTGGATTTGAGAAGTGGGCTGGGGAGATGATCTGTGTGTCCTCAGACTTTGGGGAAGTTCTGAGTCAGATGTGAACTCTCTGGCTTGTGGCCACCCTTAGCCAATAAAGAAATCCTGACTCCAGTTCTCTTCTCTGGAACACAGAAACCAGCTTTGGTAGGTACCTCACTGCACTGCGAGCACAAGCAGAAGCTTGCTGCAGAAATCGTTGCCTTCCAAAGCACAGGGGACCTCAAGGCTTATGCTTTTCTTCCCCCATTTTCTTGTTCACGCTGTGGGAGAAACAATGAGTTGGATGCCACCCTCTTTCCTCTCTGCTGGAACAAGAGACAGTGTTAAAACTAAGCTAGTGCAGAGCTTGAGGTCATGTTTGAAAATGAGTTGCTGATGCTGGTTTCTAATAAACAGGAGTCCGGGTCACGCACAGCCTTGTAAGAATTCCTTCTAATCAATATCCTTCCCGAGGCCGGGGATGTAATGGGTTTGCGGGGTGACCTGCCCTCGCTCGTGGCACTGTTGTGCTGTCTGGGATGAGGGCGGTGTTGCCCACACTGTTCTTTTTCTGTGGCTAATTAGGACACTGGTCTCTGGGGCCATTAGCTTCTCTTTCACTAGCTTCGCACTGGGCGGGGGTAATTCCTCCTTCTGCAGAGCTGCCAACCCAGTGAGGGAGCAGCAGAGAAGAGGAAAAGTGCTCAAAAGACCAAGTAAATGCACCAGCCTGATCCCACTCTAATGTCTGTCCTGAAACTTCCTGCAATATTTAAAAATGCAGAATGCAAGGAAGCCTGCAGGCACATCTTCACGGTGGGGTTAACCTGGGCTGTTACTCAGGAAATGCTCCAATCTACTTCCCTTTTGCTCAGTCTCTAGTTGAGTTTAGGGGCATTTTTAAAAAGAGTTCTAGTTGCTCAAAACCAGAATTAGAGGCCAAAACCCAAGCAGCTGTCTTCTCCTGGGCTGCTGTGTTGCTCAGTCTCTTGCTTAGAGGTGGGACACCTCGCTTGGGTGTGATGGTCCTTCAGGGGCTTTCACGGCTCCTTCTGGACAGGTGTGTTCTTGAATTCAACAGAAAAGCACCCGAGCTTTTCAGCAGTTCAGAGACCAGAGATGTCATCCCAGAGGGTGTTGCAGTCTTTGGCATCTGGACCAGGCTCGACCAAATTCTTTTCCAGGCCTGTCTTGGTGGCAGAATTGAGTTACTTGGTATTCCTAACGTTTCTAGCAGAAGTTGACGCTGGGCGTTTGTGCAGGAGTAACTTCAACATGGATCTGTCTTCCCATTCCTGAGCAATGAGTCCTCACCTTCTTAAGCTGTTCTCATTCAATTGAAATCACCTCTAATTATGGTGATAGATGTAAATGAAAATGCTACTTGGGAATGGCCTATCTGATATCCCCCTCTAGCAGGGATTAAGAGCAATTTGACTGTTTGTGTTCAAGGTGACCCTATCCAGAAGTTAAATTTCCATAGACTCACCTTTCAGTTTGACGTTAATGTCACTTCAGTGTCAGGGGTCATAGAGCGGGAGCCAACAGGAAGAACTGATAAAGCACAAACTCTTTCCAAAAAAAATTTCCCTGAGCCGGAAGAAAACACCATCAGCTGGCTGGAAAACTGAGGAAACTATTCAGAAAGGTTAAATCTGAAAACATCCTTTTGTAAAGGGATCCTTCCTCCATCTACTGGGAGTCTGCTTCCTGCAAAAGCTTCTGACCTCAGCATGCCGTGTAGGACGTCGCAGCGCTCTCACACACTGTCTTCTGCCCTCCGTCTCCTTACGGAGGGCCTTGGAGTGTGTTAGCACTTTCGTGGAGGAAGTGGCAGCTGGATCTGGGCCACTTCTGTGCCGTGTTCTCTGCCGCGGAGTCACATCTTGTAACCCTGATACGCTGAAGGGCTGTGCATTGCGGTCCCTCTGTGGCTCTCCCTTGTGCTGTTCTTCTTTGGAAGGTGATAAATCACTGTTCTTCCTCTATTGGTAAATATTCAGCAAGCAGTGTGGCCTTTGGCTAGAAAAGTTGCTATGAAATTGTGGAACAGCAAAGACTGGAAAACAGTTGAGGTAAGGGAATTCGGAAGTAGGGAGAAGAGGATGAAGATAGGGGCTTTTGTTGGTTTTTTTTTTTCTTTCTTTCCTTCCTTTTTCTGTTGAAGAAATGTTCCTTCTTCCCCCACTTATTTTATTTGCCATCAGCATTTGTTTCCCTCACAATGGGGCAACAGGAGCTGGAGGTATCTGGATCTTGCTGCTCCCACCCCCTGAATCATTTATCTAGTGCGGGCATGTCCTGGGTATGGTTTAGACTTTTGCTTGGAACAGTGGGAGCCAGAGTTCATCCGTGAGCCTGTGGTTTGTGTTATTCCCTGCCAGCCTGCGCAGTTGACAAAGCACCACATGTCCTTAGGCCTGAACTGCTCTTCACTGTGCTCCTCCTTACTGCTGAGGCCTCACTACCCTCTTTGGACTTGCCTGTTGTCTTTGACTTTCTCTCCTGTTCCCTACTTGCTTCATCGTGCATTTTCATGTACCCGGTTCCTTTCTTTTGTTAGATCTGTCTCTCAAGTGTGCCACTTACTCGTTAAATCCTCAAGGATTTCGCACCCTCCTGCAAGACTCTTGGGTTTCACACCTGCACTGGCTCCCAGCTTGTCGTCCTGCACATCTCCAGTTTGCTTCCCAGGACAGTGTGGCTCTCAGCTGTAGCGTTATCCTTTTGTCTCCTGCTTCACATGCTCGGCTGCGTTCTGGGCCGGCCCAATACAAAGAGTGCCTTGTGTTTGCGTATGTGATTCTGTTTTTTCCACATCGTTGACCTAGTGCCTTCCATGTCCTTGGTTATGCAACGGCTGCAGGCCGCTTAACGCTGTCCTGGCCAGAGCTGCAGCTGCATTTCCTTCCTCCGCATGGGGCTTCCTGCAGGCTCCGGGTGTTCACCTGCCTCGGGATTAAGTGTGGTCTTTCCCATCCTCAAGCATAATGGATCCTTGTAACCACAACCCCGTGGCAGCCTGCACTGGTTTGTGCTTCTGCCTGCCCTCACAGATGCACCGTTTTCCTTTCGTCTATGGGACACACTGTATTTCTCCACTGAGTCATTTTTTTCCCCTCTCCATTGTTTTCTTGGCCACAGCTGGGCTTTGCTGATCTAAATCTGGCAGAATTTGCGGGCTCTGGATCCACCGTCCGTTGCTGCTTGCTGGAAGGATATGATACGAAGAACACCCGACAGGACAACTCCATCCTAAAGGTACAGCAGTCGGTACTGCGCCAGCGGGAAGTCGACTGTTGAGCTCAGATCACTGCCAGAAAGCAATGCTAGACCTGAGAGAAAATCCTGTTATGTATCTTAGCCACAAACCAGCTTGATTTCATGCTGCTACTCTGATTTGGGAAGTTTCCCATTATCAGAGTCGCACTGATATTTTTATGCATTTGGCCACGGGATGACACTCAATAACAGCATTTCATCCAAGAAAGCATAAACGGGGAAAAAAGTCTGAATTCTGTTGTTAGGGTTGCCAGGGTGGTGTCCCATGGAGCTGCTGCAATGGAGAGTGCTTGGGGCAGGGAGGAAAGTATCTTGCTAAATCCCCAAAGCTGCTTTTTTTGGAGAAGAACCAGATCTGCTTAATCTCTCCATTTAGACCTTGATCTCCTGGCCACGATGAGCCCGTTGCATTGCGGTTAATGACCTGCCTTGTCCCCTCTCTCCAGGTCACGATCGGGATGTCCCTGCTCTCAGGAGATCCCTGCTTCAAAACGTGAGTTTCTGGGTGCTCATCACATTCTAGGGAGACAGAGACATGTGGTTCCTGTGCAGTTCTTTGTTGGGGACTAATTTCTGGGTAGCAGGAGATGTTCCTGGGATTCAGAAGCACCAGAGAAGGCCTGAAACTGGTGAGACTGATGAATAAACCAGAACAGCGCAGCCAGACTGTGCAGTTGGTTTGTCTGTGCTCTCTGCTCCTCTCTACCTAGTTTTAAAGGGAAGTGTCCGGGGTTTGGAAGAGTCCTGGCACTGAATGTCATAATCGACAGTAACATCTGTGGGTCGCAGATGTTGAATCAAAGCTATGAAAAAGATACTTCAACACCAAAACACATTGATTTTCTTTTCCTTCTATAGGGATCTTTGCTCACAGAGTATATTAATTAGTAATCAACAACTATTAAAGAATCATGTAAATTTATTTTAAAACATTACTGTAAGAAAGAATAAATGTAGTTAAGCTATGAAGGAGTTTTATTGATATAGGAATTGTTAGAGAATAAGCTAAAAAATAACAAACTGTGCCTTTATACTGCAGTATAAAGTAGCAAGATTTTGCAATCCAAGCCAGTCTGGCAGTATGCTATAGATTGTGGACAGTATACAGCAGGATTGCCATGTACAGATATAAATATTTTGCACTGATTCCAAACAGTATAAAAGAAGAAAGCTTTACCTTAAGGTCATCTCTTGTAGCAGCAGTATTCTGTACTAAAAGTTCTAATTTTAGGAGCTAGTTTAAAGTGCATAAATTAACTTGCATTCTTGTTATAAAATGCTATTTAATTCTTATTCAATTTGTTTTGTGAATGACTTTCCATAGTGCTGCAGCACTTGGAGACTTTCAAAGCCTAAATGCAGTGTCATCTAATTGTGAAAAATTTCTGCTTCAGAAGGAAGTTTAATAAGAAAGGTTTGAATATCTTAAACCGTAAGTTGGTTACATTAGCAGATGTTTTAAATCTAGGTTATTAGGATGTCCAACAATAAATAATAAATACCTGTTGCATTTTCACTATGAAAGAAAACTCCATGCTTGAAATGCCTGAAAGCTACATGGCATTGAATATAAATAGCAATTTAATATACACGGGGCTAGCCTGAAAGTCAAACCTCTTTATTTTTTTGTAGTCCTGCCCATTCTTCCTTTGTATATGGTTGGCATGCAAAAGTCTAGAAGCTGCAGCTATGCACATAGAATAGCCCTTAATCAGTAGAGCTTTGGAGAAACGGCTCTCATTAGAGCATTAGGCAGGAATTAAACTGCTGGAAAGTCAGTCCAGATTGAGCTCCCTGAGCACTTCCTAATGACCCTTCTCCTCCTGGGTGTCGTAGCGGAGCGAGGAGCCGTCTGTTTGCCTGACCTGACAGCCACGCGGGCTCCTCTGGCAGCTGCTGCTGCTGGAGCAGTTTGTTTAAGACTAAATGCCGTATTAACCTGTGAAGCAAAGCCCCCGAAGTACCCAGGTGTAAATAAATCACTGATAACATGATTAGGGAACTCTTTCC